GTGACATAGGATTTCCCTAGTGCGAGATTATAAGTGTGTGCGTTATTATTATTAATATATCTATTTTAAACTCTCGCCTCTCCCAAGGAATAAAAGATTAATTTTGAACTTTAAATGGGAGAGGCGGTATTTTCCGGCAATAATAATAATAATTGTATTGTATTATTATTGTTGTTATTAATAGTTTTAATTCGTGAACTGTGTAGTATGCTTTCCTTTTTTTTTAATCTGCTACCTCTGAGGTAATCAGAGCCTATTTTTGTCTAATTCCTCTTTCACTCCATTTCTATCATTTATGCCTCTCGCACTTTTATGCCTCACACTGGTTCTTTCTATCATCCATCTTCATTCATAATTTTACCGGTGTGACATACCAGCCTATTTCTATATAATATATATCTCTATCTACTTTATTTCTTTCCATAATCTACGTCTTACGGGATCTACTGGGTGGACATCAACACAATTTTATTTTATTTTCTTTTACATGCTTCTTACATAATTATATCTTACAGTAATATATTTCTTTACTACGTTTAGTCTTAAAGTCTAGGTTACTTTTTACTACATTTTTTGTTTTATGATACACACCAATATGTACATTGTATCGAGACATCATAATTTTCTTATTCTACTTATTCCTATTTATTACTACGGTTAATATTTTTTCGCAATATTTTAGAAATCTATCTCTATGTTTACATAACACATGCTAGATTCTCGACAGACAAGCTATGTTTTATACTTATTTATATTTCCATTCGCTCCAGCGCATAGACTGGACACTCGGCAAGTACGCTTTCTTAATTAGTAGCTCTTTAAGTTCAATATCGCATTTTTTAGCTTAAATAGGTAAGTTATAAAATTTCACATATCGTCGTCTTAGGGTGCATGCCTCGTAAGTGATTTCTATGTAATTTTTCAGGACGATGATAAAAATGTGGTGTAAAATGTAGTAAACACAATAATGTTTGTAGTTGGTCTTTTACTAGTTAAAATATACCTCTTTCAAATACTATATTACTTAAACAATATATTAGAGCAAGAAGTTTATAAGTCTTTCTTCAACAATAATCAGTGAAAACGCGTATGTAAGGTTTTCACTTTAAGGGCGCGTTCTCATTATGTCGTGACGACAGATAGTCGTGCAGTTTAAAGTGTCGTGACTTGTATATTTAAATGAAGTTGTTCATATATAGTGCAATACGAATGGATGAATGAACGATTAACTGTTGTTAACGACTTCTTTAACGTTAAGACGACAGACTGTCGTGACAATGAGAAAAGCTAGAACGACATTCGAACGACGATAAATAAAACGTCACGATAAAAATGTGACGAAAGATCTTCAAACGATTCTGTCGAGTAAACGACAAGGCGACCACCGTGAACCGATAAATTGTCGTCACGATCTAGTGGGAACAGCTAGACGCAACAGTCGTCCAACGACAAATAAACATTACGACATAATGGGAACGCGCCCTTAGGCGACGATACAGGTTACATGATTTGTTTAATGTACAGCAGCAACGTACATACCTACCTAGTTCTTATTATTATTTTTACTCTCATGTCATTAAAGCACTTTTAACATGCAATCACATGCGTGGTGTGCTTTACTATAGCAAGTGCACGATTTGAAACATAAAAATTTAATACTGTTTTTAATTTTGCAACAAATAAACCTATATTTTATCTCGTAGGTACACGTAAATGTGTTTAATAACTATGTTTTATCTTGGACTTCTTACGCTTATCTAATAGTAATTAATGTTTTTTTTATAATAGACTTTATGTCAACATAAGAAATGCTACCTTAGTTTTGATATAAAATATTTATATAACGTGGTTTGTGCGTAATGTAGGTCGGAAGATTAAGAAATTAAACAATTACTCAATTTGTATCATTAGCAAGCGTGTGGATTAAATTACAAGAAGTCCTAAATTCCATAACGTGACTCAATCACACACGTCTATTGAACAAAACGCTCTAAGTGCCGGTTGTTGCATTTTGCACATACGACCTTTATTCACCACTTGAGTTTCATGTTTGCGTCGGTTCTTTTGATGTGGACATAAAAGGGCGCCGCCGCGTGTCATGTATCGCTCGCCCACCTAACCGGCGTGTATTTGACTGCGCACACGCATCACAAACACAGGGCCACCAACTTATTTCTGTATATGGATAAATTTTGAAATCATATGTCTTTTGTGTCATAGTCATCTTGTAAAAAGATAACTTGCGTATTTTTATAAATAAGGAGTTTTCGTTCCAGCCATGGTTCGATGACCTGAGAAAAGTAGATAGAACTCACAGGTGAGTGCTGATAACTAAAATATTTGAATTTGGTATAGGTTCATGACATGCCCAGCAAAGGACTGATAATTAGGGTTGTACCTACTCGTCAAGGCAAATATTCACTATCGAATTCCTAGGTTGTCGCGATTGTAATACATTGAAATGAAACATTTTTTTTCGGATATACCTCGCGAATAACTGTTTTTTCAAGAATACAAACGATTCGGGGCCTTCACAGGTCCCATAGTCATGGCTGATTGTCACCCGCAGCAGAAACGTTGATTTCTTATAAAAGAAAACAAATATAGATACGTGATTTAGACCCAAAAAAAAATTATTCATTTGCAACAAATATTCAGTGAGCAAATGAGCGTATAATTCTGATACATTTGCAAAACTTCTTAACTAATTGCCATATTTTAATAAGCCGCACGCTTTCCATAAAATGCATAACATGACTTTTATAAAAAAGGACGTAAAAATATTATACGCAAAGATCACTTTAAAACTTATACTTCTGTCTTTGCCGTGGTCGACTGCATTAATAAGCTGGTTGTTGGACTTAACGTGACGACATACGTCCATAATGTTTGACAGTTTGACTTTTAGTGTTGCAAGGTGGGCAATGGAGTCAAACGTAACGTAGTCGGATGTGATGATATCGATGATGTATGAGTGCTAAAGACTTTCGATTAAAATACTTTATCACCATAGTTTCAGTAAGTAAGTTCTTTATTTCTTCCACAAATTTGCAACAATTACAAGTGACATCATAATAGCTTCTACAGGAAAAATTTAATAGAGACTGAAGCCCAAACTAGGATACTTACCCAGTATTTTATGTCTCTCCAATACTTATAAGTCTATGGATACAATTTAAAAATAGGATAAAGGAGAGAAAAAAAGCGTGTGTGTGAGCGTGTGATTTGTGTGAAAGTGTGTGCGTGTTCGATATGTAACCTGCGTAAGTTGGGACGATGAAGTAGGTATGCGTGCGCGTGCAAATGGGCGTGTGTGGTGGAGTGGATGGCTTGAAAAATATATGACAGCTCGAACTTTGATTGCTAAATTAATGCATATAATAAATTATTTTAACGGACTCCGAATAAGTTATTTTAATGGACCATAAAAAGATTATTGATCAAATCATAGGAGGAAAGGAAAATGACAAAACACACTGAGAATAAATATGGAAATGGAATTTTTACGGATGGAAATCGCATATATCTACTACTATTACATTATTATATATACTATTTGGTTTTTTTTTTCAAACAAACCAATAGTCAGCTGTGACCATGGCACCTGTAAAACACCCGAAACGTTCGTTTGTATGAATAAAGAAATATACGCGATTTAAATTGGAAAAAATAAGTTTCATTTCCTTCCTATGTGTAACAATCGCGAAAACCTAAAAGTTGATAAGAAATATGGAGCAAAATTATTTTGTTAACTACAATGTACATTTTTTTAATCAATCATGTATTATTTTAAATAACTTAGGTATTTATTTGATTGCAATAATTGCTGATTGAAACTTCTAAGAAAGTGTTTTAAGTGATTAGTATAGTATCGCATTCCAAAATTATGAGTTTAATAAAGTGGTTAACGTACAGTGTCAAAATAAAGTAATCAAATATCTTATTTATTTGAGTAATCAAGGAAAGAACAAAATTAAAAGTCAATGAATGAACGAGCCGCAGTAGGTACATTGTGGTTTTAACATGTGATCCACTTAACGATCATTTTAATAAATAGACGTTTTGCGATCTAATCCTTATGCTAATCAGGTCATTTTGAAGTTATAGTCATTATGATACTGACCCCCGGAAATGAATTTCACATATTATGTCCAAAAGTGGCAAATATTTATTTTTTTACATTGTTTGTTTTATTTGGTCAGGCTTTATTTAATATGAAAATATTTTGCTTAAATAAGAATTTGCTTTAGAATAGGTACTTCCAAGCAAAAAATTCCTCAGGGAAAAGTTGATTTCAAGCATACCTAACAGAGGTCATATAAATATTTACAATGAGTCTAGACTCTTACTTGAATAACTATGCAAATACTAGATAGCTAACCATACAATTGTAAACCAGCCACAACAAAAGGCTCGGTACATTAAAGTGAACACTAGTGTATACGACGAAACCTCTGAATCAGCTTTCACTACCAACAACATAGAACACAATAGCCCGCTATCTAAACGACTCGTAATACCTACTCACTATAAAGCGGTACAAATTACAAAGAGACCGTACAAAGGCATCTGCAACAGCACAAAGACTTGCCTACGAAACGCAATTACAAGAGCAATTCGCTCACTTAATAGCTTCACTAGGGACGCTGTGTCACCAAAAATTTGCATTGAGTTACCTATCGCACTCAGCGGAATAATGCCCTAACTCAAAATACGCTGATTTCAACAAGGGCCTATTTTAAAAGGAAGGTGTTTGAAGTTGCGACTTTGTCGATTGTGAAAGGTGGCTCGGTTGGGTCTATTCGCGAGTGAGACTGATCAATTCCGAAGGCAGTGCTCGGTAAGCTCCGCCTCCTGGGAGGCGCGCGGCTGCCTCGGGAGCCGACACAGGCGCCGGGCGAGGCGGCTCGTTTGATGTCCTCCCTCCGCGCCACGCGCAGGCGCAAGCCCCGATAACCAACGCACACAGGCTCATAACGCTTCGCGCGCTCTCTCAAGCCGGTTGTTAGTTCACAAACCGGTTTGGTAGTGACGACACAGCTCCACAGTGATACCAAAGTGCTGAGTATAGTGTTTAGTTTTCAATGGATTGTATATCGAGTGAAATGGAAGAGAAACCTTACAGTGTTGACAGTTCTGATGATATCAACATCGACGAAGAAGAGGACGAACATATTGAGGAAAATCAAAGTGAGTAATTTGGCGTGACTTTTGTATTATAACATGCTGTTTCATTTAATATTGAATTTTCTATTGTTTTCAAAATTATAAATTTTATCATTCGCTAGCGATCCAATTTTCTGATCGCTTAAAGAAAATTCCAATGAAAACATTTTTCAGTATTTTTTAAATGTAGAGTTTGCTATAGATCGATATTTCAAACTCTACAGCTTATAAAATAACTTTTAAACGTTAATTATGGTTTTCTCGATTTCTCCAAACTATTTTTTTATAATTTGTTTTATTTTTCGGAACATCCTGAAAAGAAACACTTTTTTTAATCATGGACAATAAATAGTACGTAATTTTTGTTTTATGTTCCATAGTTATAAATTTCGTCGACGTCAATTTTTTATTACAGAGGTAATAACGAGTGTTAGGTTCGATGTTAATTTTTTATTACAGAGGCAATAATGAGTGTTAGCTAAATTTCGTTACATTGTTTCTACAGGTTATCCCCCTGACTTCCCAATTGAAGCTCTGGTGAAGTTGGAGCGGCCGTCTCCGCCACTGCCGACGCCGCCGCATACGCCCACAGACGACACGCCTCCCGCTGTTGTTGTCTCCCGCCACCAACCACCCTGGACTCCCCCCGCACCCCAAGCCTACTCCACTTACCCTCGGCCAGCGATGCAACCATATTCTTATGAAAAATCGCCAGTTCCAAACGCTCCCGCCTACAACCATCCTGCAATGTCCGCGTACGTCCAAGCCCAAGTTGCCACATTACCTCCGTCAGCCCCTTACCACGCCATGTTGGTCAATCAATGGATCCGAAACGCGGCTCTATATCACCATTCCTTAAGGTACCCTGGCGTTATGTCCCAAAGACTCCCAGGAAGAAATCCTCCACCCATGCGGGTCCCAGGTGCACCCGGAACAAGACCGAAGAAACAGTTTATTTGTAAATATTGTAATAGACAGTTCACAAAGTCTTACAATCTGCTCATCCACGAAAGGACGCATACAGATGAAAGACCTTACTCGTGTGATATTTGCGGCAAGGCTTTCAGAAGACAAGACCACCTCAGAGACCATAGGTAAATATCTTTTATTAATTTGAACGTGTTTGGTGACGGAATTACGAAGGTTGACAACACAAGTTATTTGATACGGCACTCTCAAAGGTTAAAGTTTGTTATGTGATCAGTATAAAGTCCGTTTAGTTTGTTTAGAGTTTAAATAGTTCGTTGCATTCATAAGGATCTACCTAAGCGTTACAATTTCAAATAAATAGTTAATAATATCTCTCTAGCATATTTATCGTGCTTTAATATATGTATTTCACCGCGCCTTTGTTGACGATAACAACGTAAAAAAATAAATTAAAAGCGTAAACCTTTTTGTGAGGTCGCGAGGCGGCGCGGGCCGCACGCGCTTCTACAATAACCGGTTTGGTTCTTTACGATCACCATATCTGTCTTGCTTCGCCGTTGAACAAATTACAAGTTATATTTCTTAACTTTTACGAGACAAACTTTTTTCAAATTAAACTCGATGTATTTTAGCCGTCTTATGTGTCTGTAATTTAGGGTTGTTTCGATTTTCGTTCGAAACGTTCCTTGTAACGCTCGTAGCAGTGTATTACGACGTAAAGACCTGTTTGAGCGTTTGTTTTCACTGATAATGTTTTGTAATTTTTCCACCTCACAGGTGAAAGTTTGTAGAGTCTAACGTTCGTTTTCCATTTTTTTCAGGTATATCCATTCAAAGGAAAAGCCATTCAAGTGCACAGAATGTGGTAAAGGTTTTTGCCAGTCGAGAACTTTGGCCGTGCACAAAATCTTGCATATGGAAGAATCTCCTCACAAATGCCCTGTGTGCAACAAGAGCTTTAACCAAAGGTCAAACTTGAAGACTCATCTACTGACACACAGTGAAGCGAACAAGCACCACCTGGATCATCTAGATGGCTGCCAAGAAGTTTCTTCTACAAGTCAAGCCGCTGATAGCTCTCTCTTGGATCTTTCAAATAAACCTTCACCACCGCCCACGGTACAGGCGTATCAACACCAACCAGAAGTGAGCCCACAGCAATCCCCTGTTGAAGGACCAAAGAGAACATTGGGTTTTTCAATAGAAGACATAATGAAGCGATAATTCTATATATTTTATCTCTTATCAACGTGTCAATACAGATCTTTTCATGCAATGGCTGTATTGTATGAGTGTAGGTTTGCAATGTACAGATAATTGTATAGTACACCTCTTTATTGTACCTGTTCACAATTATGTCAATTGTTTCTTGTATAGGTCAAGTCATATTTGTCATCCAGCTAATCGTATAAGTTTTGCCAAAGAATTATGTCATTGACTGATTAGTGGAATTGTTTTACATTATTATTATAATAGTTTTCTTGTTTCCTATACATTAGATTTAAATTACTCGGTTCTTGCATTCCATGGTCACATTATGAAATCTGTATACTTCAATCTTTGTAACTTATATATATAATTATATAATATTAGGTGTTACAAATCTGACAGCTCGATTTTTTTCTATTAAGACTGAATTTTTGTTTTAAGTTTGTTGTGTTTTGTAAAAGATTTATTTATTGTGATAGTTATTGTAGGGTTAAGCTAATGGTTAACTAAAGTTACCGAAAAGTATTACCTTTGATTTATATACCTATGAATAAGTTCTTTAATTCCAAATTTCATGGCTATGACATTCATTAGAATCGAAACGTAGAATTTTTTTATAAGTGGTAAACGTACAATTGTAACTACTAGGTACTTATGTAGTTTCCTTGTACATTTCTGTAAATATTTTACCTTAAGTTATATAGTTTAAGTTCATGAGGCTAATTATAAAAATATAATTTTATTGAAAAATACACCCACGAATACCTTTATTACTTTGTTTCAATCACCCTTAATTACGACAATATTTCACTATAAAAAACATATCATAATAAAAAAACTTCAAGTTCTATATGGATAAATTTTGTTATTTTAGTAGCAGTACAGGTCCTTGTGAAAGAGGTCATCTAGGGAAGTACTGCTACCTTACCTATTTCTTCCGCCAAGCTGTAATGTGAGCATTACTGCGTTCCGGATTTGAAGGGTAAGGGTGCGGGTGAAATTACACGCCTACGCGCCTGTGCATAGCAGTTGCAGTACCACTCAGAGCTTTTAATTGCAAATATCTGAGGGACTCTGCCACTGCACCTGTCACCCAGAGACATAATTATTATTTATTTGTTCAGATATTTATATAATCTCACAAATCTACACATTTCAGGTTCGTTGTCATCAATTTTACACATAGGACTTGTCAAATTATGTCTCAGGGTGACACACGCAGTTGCAGTGACCCTCAGATTTTTACGATTTAAAACTCGTGGCACTGCAACTGTTGTACTTTCCCATGGAACGTTAATACGAACATCAATGTCTTATTCTACTAAGAATCGACCGAATTCTCCTTATTATAATCAAGATTAGCAGTAAACAATGAAAATAAATTAATTAACCACACCGATAAAATCAAACTATGTAACCTACGATACACCTGAAAAATTCAAAACAATAGAAGCATGTCAATACCGTTAAAACTACAATTTATATAATTTTAGCCACTTTAAATTTAGCAATAAAAACGCATGGTACAAAATAACGGTTTTCAAGATAGCGTGTTTTGACCGTGGCCATTAGAGAGTGGCCCATAGGCTATGGCGTCACAGTTCGTGCAATACCAACACACTCATTATAGATATAATGTAATGTACAAAATTAATTGTAATTATAGCTTTGCCTTGATGAATATTATTTGGGCCCGGCAACTTGTTTCGTTATTGAAATAACTGTTTAGAAAATTTCTTATTCGTGTTATGTGGAATTTGGCTTATTGATTGATAGAAGAACGATGATAAATTATATTAATTAAGAAGGTATTCCTTTTCGAGGTTTTATTCATAATATTACCAAGCACATTCGAATAAGGTTTTATTTTTTCCCTAACATTCCACACAACGAATTATTCAAATGAATATATCACAAAACACGTGTATTAACTGAAGATTGCCTCAATTTAGTGGGAATTATAAAATTCCACACCAAATTATGGAGACGACCCGAGGCGCCATCTACACGTTTGCACTGGAACTAGAAAATGTCATTTGTCACAACTGGATGTCGCTACGCGTAGCGATTTCTTGTTGCCTACAGAGTTATTCTACTGTAACGGGTAGTACGAAGGCTATGAAATTATTATAAGCTATAAAACGTTATTATTAACATTAATTACACATTATTTACCAAGTTATGACTTTTCTTACTAACTCGATATCCATGATCACGTGTTATAAATAATTGATATTGACAATAATTTAATAATAAGCCACGCAAGTCTTAAAATCTCCTTAATAATGTTTCTTTTTTCGCCAAGTATATATTCTTCTAGTATATTATTAGAACAACACTTGTTATATATTACAAAGCTCTATTAGAATAGAATTAGAATGTAATTTTATCAAAATTGTATTTTATGGTTCTCGATCACAAATAACTTTATTCTTAGAAGTTTCACGTGTATTTACGAGACATTCGAAATCGTTCGCAATTTCACGAGAAACATAATTGATGACTGAAACTCACATGGAATTTGGCAGTCAATGGGAATTGCGAAACTCTTCTGATTGCCGTCTAATCACCAAATTCGTTCACATGACTATTTTCAAATTCCAATAATTTGTTCGATCTGACTGTACCAATTAGAGCAATTATGGGATTAAAATCGAATTTAGGATCTGTTGGGTTATATTTCATGTGATTTTGTCTGTCAGTGATTGAGCGAATGAAGGTGAGTAGTGTAGCTAATAGCAGTGAAACAAAAGTTTACTAAAATTATGTTTAATGCACCCACGTGATTTAAGTTTACTAAAAGTGTACGACGGAGCGAGCTATGCTTGCGGTTTCTCTAATGGACCGAATCCCTAACGAGGTCATACGTCAGAGAACTAAAGTGACCGACATAGCTCACAAAATCAGTAAGTTTAAGTAGCAGTAGGCCGGGCAGGAGAGTTGATCGCCGATGGAGCAGACTTTTTCTGGAATGGTGACCACGTCAAGGAAATCATAGTATGGGACGCCCTGCGGCAAGATGGACGGACGACCTGAGCAAGGTGGCCGGTAGTGGCTCATTTTAGTTCCACCGTGGTGTTTCCATAATAAAATTTAAAGCTGTTACACACGGCGACTTTTAGCAGCGATGCAAACGCGGTGCAGTAGAGATGCAGTCGCTAATCGTCTACCTTTGCACGCTCGCGCGACTTTAGCAGCGACGGTAGCGCGACTGTATCGATACACTTGGGATTTACGAGTATATGCGATAGCATCGAAGCAGATTTGCTCTGGGCCTTTTGGAGGGAAAAGTGTCGTTTTTATTTTGACTTTCCATTATTTTGTGAAATCTAGTTTAAAGTGGAATAGGATAGTGCTATTGTGCCTTAATCGAAGATTAAAACGCGAAATTATACGAATCTCGAACTATAATACCCGTATCGACCTGTTCTATGGAATCCCGAATCAATCCAAGCACGCCGTCTCAAATTGCCTATCCTTTTTGTGGCGGCCATATTTACAGAAACATAATTAAACGAAGACATGGCTCAAAGCCTAAGCAACACACCCATATCTAAATATATACTATAAGATATCTAATAGAATTTAATTCGATTGATTATTTTAAGAGTTCAAATTATCTCAAGATATCTCGAAGAAGGTTTCTAGATAATTTAAAGTAAAAGTGGGCACAACTTTATTAGTAGATCACAAGAGTGCTTTGAGAAACTATCTGTAGGTAGTGTTAAGAGTCATTCATATCTTTTTTCTGAAGTAACCATTCTAGAATGCTACAAGACCATTTGTAGAATGTAGACAGTTTTTATTTAGTCTTGTAGATAGTTTTTAGATATTTTATAGTGTATGATAGTTTTCTTAGTAATGCTATTTTAAAACCAAAATACTAAAGCGTTACAAACATAAGACGCAATTCTCTTAATACTTATAGATTCCAAGTTTAATGGCTTACAAAATATAAACTATCAAAATTGCAATATGGCGAAATTAGATATAATATTTCTGACTTTTCGCGTAATATTTAATCGGTTAGAAAGCGCAAATTGACGTGCGACTTTAAATACATTGAGAAAAGTGATGTAAAACCTGTGATAAAAGTAATGCGCTCGCTATATTTTAAATATTTAAGTATAAAATATAAACTTAATAAAAATACAGTTATCGATTTTCGGTTTTAAATATTTATAGAAAGCTTAAATATACAAAATAAATCACAAAACAAACCATTTCCAAGAAGTTCTAGGCTTTTTCAACTTAGATTTACTTTTTAAAAAGAAAAGAAATTTTTCTCGGCTACTTCATAGTCATTCTTTAAAAATAAAAATGGCGATAAGAATTTAAAGCTTTTTTCAAAACCCCAACTGTGTTTTTGTCTGCATTTTGTCTATAGCTTTATCTATAGAAAAACTTTAGAACACGAAATGATTATTTTTACTTGCTTTAGTGTAGTTGAAATTGTCGAAGAATATTCCTCCTATGAGATTTTTAAGATTGTCCACAAAACGCGATGTTTCTAAGCGATTTTTTCTTTTGACAGTATTACAAAACCTTCATAAGGTTATACGTAAAAATGAGCGCTTTATGCAATAAAAAACTTTTCAAAACACTAGGTCAAAAAAACAATTGGAAAAAATCCAATTTGTCGCAAAAAAAAACGTTATTCTGCATAATTGTATGGAATGTGTTATAATATGACTAGAAAGGTGGATAAATTTACTATCAGATAAATACAAGGAATATTTTAATGACATACCTAACTTATGATGGAAGAAATAAAATTTTCATTACAAAATTGAGGTTATTTTTTCACGCCAACCACATTTCACACAATGATTTCACTGTATTCTATTGATAAACGGCACAATACACATACACAACATTGAAGTACAGTAGTTTACGCGCTCATTTCAATTGTTTTTATCATTTCACAACACGGAATTACTTCACAATGTTTATTTATTTGTCAACAAACAAATGCCGGCCATGACCGGCCCGAGCGCGAATTACGAGTATTGGATCCAGGGTTGCCAATTTGTAGGGAATTCCCCAAATTGTGGGGAGTTTCAACTAGATTCGGGATTTTGTGGGGATTGGCGCTATGTGAGGAAATTGTGGGGATTCTAACATTTTATCATTTTATTTAATCTATCAATTGCTGATGCATCGCTAGTTTGATCATTACTGTTAGAAACACTGTGATGGACTATATCGACGTGTTATTCAACATTGCACATCCCTCGTATTGTTAACAAGCAGCTTAAATAGAATTATTATTAGAGCATTTGGTTCTGAATTATTAAATTACCAGTGG